AGCACATACCTAATTGAATTAATACAGATATTGACTTGGTTCATTTTTCAGCTTTGTATATACATCATTGATCCTTTTTTTCCCCCTTTTTTTCCTGCTTAATCCTATTTGCTTTTTATGTCTATTGATATGCTTTATCTAGCTGTTGATACGGTGAAGAGAACCCAAAAAAATTGAATCAAAGAAGGTGTAGGACAACTCCTTCACTAGACAGTTAGGGGTATCTAATTATGGATTGATAAGCTCAAATTCCCCATCAATTTTGGCCAAGATTCGTAAATTAGTCGGCACTTCCCATGGAAGAGTTTGAGCATTCAATTTGATTCAATTCAATACCTTTCTTTTGCACTTCATTGGCTTTAATCTTTCCTAGTATATTAGAATTTAAACTCCGCAACCAATGTATAGGATAATAATTTGAAAAGAAAAAACAAACACAATGCTACATGAGAAAGACTTCAACTCTACTCCATCCAAATATTATTTTGCCGTGGCTCAAAGACTCCCTGCTATCAAATTAAAACCTCCTACTTCTCAACCTTTCATTTTATATCCCTCCTTGATTGAACTCTCTTTCATCCAACCTGGCAAACCCTAACTCAGTACACATTAATTAACTTTCTTTAAAAGAGGGGAAGATTTATATATATATATACATATATAAGAAAATTATAAAAACCAAAAATAATTAGTTGAGAAATTTTCAGTTCGTGCAAAAGTAAATTAATTGATGATTAATTTTCATCCCACCAACCCTTCTCTATTAATTTTCTTAATTAGTTTAGAAGATTAATTAATTAATAATCCCCAAAAGCTTTGTGTGAAACTAAGAAGTAATGAAGACCTTGGGTTTGAATAAAAATTCAGTGCTTTGCATGCTGTACCCAACCTTGTCTATGGAGGCAGCCACCCTATGAGTAAAGTTCGGTGCAAATTTCAGCAAGTGGCATCAATATTAACATTACTTTGTTCTATTTTTTACATAATTAGCAGGCTGATAGCAACTTACTATTAAATCAAAGCAACTTAAAAAGTCAAATTGATCATGAGCCAAAACCAAATGACTTTTGCCTCGGTTAGTGCCCGGGAGTTTTGGTCAATCCAAATGGGAAGAAGGGGAAAGTTGGTCAAGACTCCCTTCCCCTGACTCTCGGCTGGAACTTACTTTGGTTAAAGCTAGAAAGAAAGAAAGAAAAATAAAGCAAATGAAGTTAGACCCTGGGGGCCATATTTCTGGTTAACAAAACTTGGCCTACAAAATCTAGCTTTTCCTTTTCAATTATGGAAAAGGTTTCAATTCAATTAAGCAAAAAGAGTGACAAAAACTCATTGACACAATCCTTTCTCTTCCTTTCTTGCGTGTGTGTTAAGGTAGGAAATTGGTTTGTATTTGATGAGTTTTTCGTGGGCCTCCTTCTATAATTTTACCCATCATTCAAAACATTTTAAATGGATTTCAATTAGTGCTAGGTTTTTTTTACCCAAAGACCAATCTTATAATATTTTTCCGAATTCAAAAATTATATAATTTCATATTAAATTTTAACTGTTCGATTATCTAGTACGAGGATCAGTAATCGAACTAAACTACCTGTTTCATGTTTCTCTTATTCATATAATCTGATGGATAGATCAAGGGTTTATTAGGACCCTTGGTATACAATGGCTGGCTCTGTTGATCATTATTTTGTTCCTGAACTTTCATAATTATTTTAACTTCCAAACTCACAAAAGTCAAGACCAAAATAACTAACCCATGACAGATTGGTTGGTCCACGCCATCAATGGTGCAAATTCTAGCATTTTCGTCATGATGAAGTGTTTTCACCTTTTTGGGCATATGACAAATAGAGGGCAAAGCTGCAAATATAGAAGGGGGGGGATCACAATTATTCACAAAGCGTGGAGAAGTTGCCATGATGGGAGCCACTTGGTCGTTGCATGGGAACATAATCGTGCCCCCAAAAAGGCAATAGTGAAAATTCGGCTCGAAATTTTAAGATAATAGTTAATTTCCGATTTATCCTTTTTTGTTTTTTGGTAAGAAATTATATTACAAAACACTTAAACTTCTTGGGTTTAACATTGCCATAGCAAAGATTTAAAAGTTCCTTTTGTTCCCACCTTGTTCTTCAATTGGGCAGCAAATGGCATGGAAGGGTAGGGAAGATTTTTGGGTCGAACTCTTTCACATTACTTTGGAATAATCTAATATTTGTTTACTAGTTTTATCTTTAAAAAAATATATGTCGTTTAACTTTAAAGGAAAAAGAAAGATGGAATTTTGCAATAATCCAACAAGTTTTAATTTTCAAGAATCATGTGGTTTCTCTTAATTTATTTATTTATTGACTAAATGCTTATTTTTAGAATTCAGCATTCACTAAATTCTTCATTTTAAGATATAACATGTTATTTCTTTTAAATTAAGATACAATTTTTTTATTTTATATATTAAAAAATTGATGATAATAAGTCTTACTTATTATTAATGAGATTAACAGTTGTCGTGTGAAAGCCAGTAACTCTTAACAAATAAAAATTTGCATACGTCGATTACTAATTCTTTTCAAAATTAATGAAAATGTTGCAGTGCATTTTGGAAAATAAAAAAATAAAAGATTGAATGTTAAAATGAAAATTTTGATAAACGTTATTCTTTTTATTAAATGAGTTTGCAAGACCCAAAATTTAAAATGGTTGTCACTTTTCACAAAATAATAATTTAGCAATTGGATTGTGTATGAGTGGGTATATTTTCTTTTCATTATAAAAATGGTAGAACAAGAGTGAATTGAAAAAAAAAATTATTTTCGTTATGAAACATGTTTTACTTGGAGAAGACATATCCCATAAATCAATATTATGAAACCTGTTTTTTGCTATTTGATTGATCCACAAAATTTGGCCCGAGTTTGAAATTTTTCACGAGATTGGATTATTCATTTGACTCAATTTTTGGATATAATTAAACTAATATAAGGATTAATATTAAAAACAATCACATGATTCTATAGAAAAGGAAAAATTACATCAAATTAGATAATTAATATTATGTCTTCATGGTATACAAAAAAGATTGGCTTAAATAACTAATTAATTTCACGCATTAGTATTGAGTACTTGTGATAGATTCATATTGTTTTTGATGAATTTTGTAATTGTCAACATATTTAAATAATTAATTAATTTGTTGTTAATATTTAGTTATACCATTAAAATCAGTTAGTCTAGTGGACTTGACTAGCTAGTTGATCGAATTTGGACCAAAATTAAACCTGGATTTATCACTTAATTCAAACCCGATATCAAATCAAATGATGAAATTAAGTAATGACTATTTAATTAATAATTAATAACTTCTACCCTCAAACGCACGTATTTATAGCAGAAATTAAGGTCAAGAAATCCACTCCCAGCTCAACATTGTCGAACCTTCTCCCTTGTCACACAAGCATCTAAGACATTAAAATCTTTACTCTCATTTGACCAAAATCTACTCTATTTTCAAGTTCATATTCATTGATTTCGATAATGGTAGTTAAATTGTTTCAGATGATAATCAACAATTCTATTAGAAATGCTCAATTGCTATGAGTTTCCTTTCCTTGAATCATGCATATTCTTGGCATTATCAGGCTTTCATGCTCATGATTTCCTCAGGTTCACATGTGCATTAGCTATATATATATATATATATGTATATATAATGTATACAGTCTTTTTTTTTCTTCCTTATTATACAGTCATATGTAGTTTAGGCAATTCGAAGTCTCCATTTCTGTTCGAGTCCAAAAGTTGACTGCCCAGTCTTTTTGACTCGAACAAAACCAGATACTTCCTTTGCATATAGGGCACTGCACATTAAATAAATAAAGGAAGAAGCAGAAGGAATTATTTCCTGGGAAACGCATGACGCCCTGAACAACAAATTGGACTCTTGTAATTGAATACCAAAACGGAAATCCCCTCCGAGATTTTGGTTTTTTTCTTTATTGGAAATAATATAATTTCTAGTACACACAAATATTTACTCCGAGGGAAAAATAAGAAGGCCAAAATAAGACATCATGTGATATTATTGTAAGTATCTCATGAAGATATCACAATAATAATGCTTTCAAATGATTAATAGCTGAATTACCATGTAAAATTCTGTTTGCTATTCAATTTGCATTAACTAATTATTTTTTATTGATTTGGGTTACCTATTATCAACGACTAACGAACACAGTAAATATGACTTAAAAATAACATAAAACTATATTTATATCTAACAGCAGCATGTAAGGAGAAAAAGATGAATATCATTTATACCTTTTAGTTGAACCGTGTTTGGGGTCAATAATTTCTCTCTCTTGCTAAGGGCCGTGATTGGCGCAACACGTAATATTCTTACCACCAATATTCCAATTAATTCTTTATTAAATAAATATATAATTATTAATGCTTAAAAACACTTTTTTCAATACACGCAAATCAGGCAGCGAAAACCGTGACGTCTGTTCCCGACTACGCCGTAATATCTGACGTGGCATAACCCTCGGATTAAAATATAAATTGATACTTCTTAACCCCGCGGTAAAATGGCCCGTGAGAACACGCCGATGTGCACGTAGAGAGGGGGACGGAGAGCCTCGAGGGGACGGTTAGTGGCGGTTGGTAACTTAGGTTAATTGGTTAAAGTAAACCTAACAAGAAACGCCTATCGTTGGTTGGGTAACTCACAGGCGTCGTTTGTTTTTCTTTCTTTATAATTTATTTTTTGGGTTTTTGTTCGTGCTCTATAAAAAGGCCGTTTCCTTGGAGCTTGTACTCTGACTTCTCCCTGCTTCTTCTTCTTCTCTCCTTTCCTTTATCTTGGTCTCTCTGTGGTCTCTTTCTCTCTCTTAGCTTTTTCTGTTTATTTTTTTTTGGCTGTCTGTTTGGATAGAAGAGAAACGAGAGAAAGCTTTTAACTACCGAAAGCAGAGAAAGTTGCCTGAGCGGTTTCCAGAGAATGGGCTTTGGCTTCTTTAGCTGTTCTTTTCTGTTTTCTATTGGAGCAATGGCCACTGTACGGACCGACAACGCTTCCAGGTTTCTCTCTCTAGCTCTCTCTTCGGCTTCAGTTTTCAAGCTTTCTTTCCTACAATTTCTCTGTTTTAGTTTAGTGAAAGAAACAGAGAATCCTGTGTTATGTTTGTTTTTCTTTGGGGGTTTTTCATTGAAAATTTTAACCCATATATCTTTTTTTTTTTAAAGATAATTATTATCCAATTATGTAGAATTTTCGTCGTGCTAGATCTTGAAAATATTCTTGGAAAATTAAGCTACATTATTCTTTGCTCATTGCCTTTAAGTCACAAAACAAAGTGGAGTTCTGTATATAATGACTCCATTATCATCCACCCTCAGAACCTTCATTTAACACGTAGAAAATGAAATTTCACTGTTCTTTCTTAATGCAAACTGAAAAGTGAAAATGACAACTTGCTCACTACAAAAATATTATAAAATATCATCCTTCATTTATTACTATATGTTTTCTCAATTTATTTTTTTTCTATGTTTTTTTGTAGCAATGTTGAGACAGAGAAGTTGCAGAGCTCAAACAACTCAACAATGGCAGCTAGGTAATGCAGAGCTCAAAACACTAGCTTTTTTCTTTTTTTTGTCCTTTTGGTGCCTTTACATTTTTGTTAAAAAGTGATCTTAGCCGTTAGTTTTGTCTCCTTTCGTTCATGCTTGGACCGTTGGATGATGGGAACGGGTACTATTTTATCCAGTCTAACCATAAAATAACGATCCCAGCCATTGAGATCCAGATCCTTAGATCTCAACCGTTTATTCCGTTATTCAGATTCCTCCTTTCTTTCGTTAGTTAACCAGAATTACCATCGTACTACAACTGCCCCCCCTTCCATTTTCCATAAAGTAAAATGGCAGTGTAATGTGGAAGGGCATTTGAGTCCTTTTAGTAATTCCCGCCGACGGGTCGCGTCGCGGTATCTCTCTCTCTCTCATCCCTCGCTACGCTATTGTTAACGGTTTTGAGAGTTTTAGTGGACAGACCCCTTTGAACAGTGTACTTGCTGTCGCCTATAGCTATTTTTGCACTCGCTTTGTAAAACGGACACGTGTCCTTACTTTGAGAGAATTGATATTATTTCGGGTGGTCTTTTAAAGTAACAGTTTGGTTGGGTTTTTCAGGTCAGAAGAGGCTGAGCCATTGAATGAGCATGCGGTGCCTGACCCAGAGGCTGTGGCAGCCGAGGTTGAGACTATGATTGACATGTGGGTCTCTCTGTTTCACTCTCTTGCTTTTTCTTGCTTGCATTGCTTCTATCTATTACTATCATTTAAGTAGCAGTTAGGGGAGAGGCTTTGGGTTTTAGAAGTTTTGGTGGGAAGGAGGAGAGTAGTTCACAAAAATTAATGATGGTAGCAGGCATACTTTTACTATTAGTTTGTTGGTTTTTACCAAACGACCCCATTTTCATTAAAAGACCCATGCTTGGCCAAATTTTGATATAGTAACTAATTTATTTCAATAAAACCACAATTGATGAAAAGGGAATCCGAGGGAATCAAAATCTTCACGTTACAAATATCTGTTGCATTCTTGATGATGACATATTTTCTCCTGCTGTGTTTTTAACTGCATATCCTCCCACCACCATTATGCTCAGATCCGTGTCTCACGGCCTTTCTATATCTTTACTGTCTTTTTCTATCATTTTACATGTACTCGAGAGTACGCACACATATATATATATATATATATATATATATAGTTTCAAATAAATTGTCCAAATCAACCGTTTTAACTAAGAGTAACAAAGTTTCCTTACATCATATGACTGTGGATGCACGTTTGATTGTCTAGTCATGCAAATTTTTGCAACATAATTCTCCCCAATAATCATGACATAATTGACACCCCACCCTTTTACCCTTTTTTTTTTATTATTGTAAATGTAAATGGAAATGGAAATGGAAAGGAAACAAAACAAAGCCAAGTCATTTTCTCAATTTATGGTTGGAGGAAAACAACAATTTGGTAAGGGAGTGTCTGCGTTAGTAATTAAAACTGCAGATTGTTTGTTCGTTCATTTCCTTCCCTTTTTCATACTCGTTTTGCGTATAACAGCTTTTACGGTTTTGGTGCAAAAGGACAAGCTACGAACGTACAAACACACTCTTTTCCTTCTTTTCGTTAAAATGAAACCAAACAGCATTCCTAGCCGTTACATCTGCGAAGACCCATTTGTCCTCATGAATTGACAAAACATCCACTATACCCTTTGTCACTTTATGGATTTATGCACTTTCCTATTCGGATCTCATCACGGTCCTTAGGAGGAGAAACCATGGAAAGTGTGGTTAAATATAGCCCTCCACCGACAATAATTTACTAACCCTTTTCATAGTAAAGTCAGAAATGTTAATAACTTTGTAATAACCTGAAATTCTTCAACCTTGAAAAAATTAATATTTTAACGCATATGTTGGTGTTAATAGTAACACAAATAGTAATGCCAATGCTTGAATGTACATTTGATATGGCAGGAATATTCGCAATGTGACCGAAAGGAGGAAGTTGGGGTTCTTCTCATGTGGAACTGGTAACCCCATTGATGATTGCTGGCGCTGTGACCCCAACTGGCAAAAGAACCGGAAGAGACTTGCTGACTGTGGCATTGGTTTTGGAAGGAATGCAATTGGTGGCCGTGATGGTCGCTTCTATGTTGTCACTGACCCTGGTGATGATGACCCTGTTAACCCCAAACCTGGGACCCTGCGTCATGCTGTGATCCAGGACCAGCCTCTTTGGATTGTGTTCAAGAGGGACATGGTTATTAAATTGAAGCAGGAGTTGATCATGAACAGCTTCAAGACCATTGATGGTCGTGGAGTGAATGTCCATATTGCTAACGGGGCATGTATCACGATCCAGTTTGTTACCAATGTGATTATTCATGGTCTTCATGTTCATGACTGTAAGCCTACTGGCAATGCCATGGTGAGAAGCTCACCTTCTCACTTTGGGTGGAGGACAATGGCTGATGGTGATGGAATCTCCATCTTTGGTTCAAGCCACATCTGGGTTGATCACAATTCTCTCTCTAATTGTGCTGATGGTCTTGTTGATGCTGTCATGGGCTCAACTGCCATTACCATCTCAAACAACCACCTCACCCACCACAATGAGGTAATTTTTCTGCATACTTCTCTTGTAGCTCTATATCTTACTGTAGCATCCTTATTAATGGTAAAGCTAACTGTATTGCAACTGTGATTAAATGTAGGTGATGTTGCTGGGACACAGTGACTCTTACACAAGGGACAAGCAGATGCAAGTGACCATTGCCTACAACCATTTTGGAGAGGGACTTATCCAGAGAATGCCAAGGTAGTGCAATCAATTCAACCTTTCACATTTAAAGCCTTTTGTTGTCCTTTTTCTCCTGTCAATTTCAATGGAAGTAAAAAAGTTTGATCTGAGAATTGAACTGGAATTTGAACAATTAATGTGCAGGTGTAGGCATGGGTACTTCCATGTGGTGAACAATGACTACACTCACTGGGAAATGTATGCTATTGGTGGAA